GTGCAACAGCCTTGTTTAAAATGCTGCTAAGACTTGTAAACACTAGTTATTAGTATTACTGTGATAAATAATATTCCAATGTCTTCAAGAATCATGCGATACTAACCAAAGCAGTAAGATCTTACTGTTTGTAATCTTGCCATCTTTCCCAGAACCACAATACTGTTTGCTACCATCCCTTTTCAGATCGTGCCTCAACTTATAAGACAATCTTTTCGAAGTAGGATCATTTTCTTTTATCTATAACTTGCCATGTGCTTCTATGTCATGACTTAGCTAACAATGGAATGAAATTCTCAAGTTACTAAAACTGCCAACAAATTAGACTGGACTTTAAGACTTGAAAAATCAAAGCAAATCTAAAACTAAAATTCAGTTCTATATACCGCATCTCTACAGTACCTCTGCTGGTCTTTCCATGTTTTCTTAGACTGCCATAGTGCATTAAGTTAAAATAAAGGTACATTATGCTATGTATCTTTTATATCCTATGCAAGATTTTGAAATTACACGTATGCAGCATTCAGCCAAAGACAGGTAAGTGAATAGGTCAAACAATAATAAAGTAAACTAAGAAATCAGCACTTCCAAATAAGCTTCCATACTGATTAAAGCTAAACTCAGAAATTTATGGAACCACAGTTAGCATTATATTCAAAACTTTAGACATACTCTGCATGTATTTCAGTGTCAATAAAATAGGCCAAATTAAGAGATCTCAGCATTATAACAAACAAGGTAAAGACTTGTTTTGTTCCTTTTCCTTATGATCAGTCATTCCAGCTTCTCTCTAATTGGGAGTAGAAGATGTCAGAAATTTTGCAAAGCTCGAACAGGAAGAACAGTCTTCTTTTATCCTAAACCCACAGCACATTCTGCCTTTCACAGCAGCAGAATCATCCAGGTTTGTCCCCAGTCCAACTTCCTGCTCCCAGTAGCACCAAGACCATTCAGACCAGATTATTCAAGGCTTTGTCCAGTCAAATCTTGGAAACTTCCAAGGATGGTGATTGCACAGACTACTGGAGAAATCTAGCTAAGTGTTTAACTGTCCTTGTGAAGAAAGCAACAGTTCTTGCTGTTTCTGGACTTGAAGAACTGCCGTCTGATGGAAAACTAAAAGAAGCAGAGCTTCTTTTCTTGCCTTGTAATACTTAGTAAGAAATATGACAGCAATCTGCAAGTACCTCCAGGTTACAAACAAAGAGGAGTAATTTACTGAGGTGAACATGGGGAACATGTCAAAATAAGAGGTAAAAATAGAATATCTGTAATAAATATATGGGAAAACTTCCAGACAGCAAGCTGGATCAGCCCATGGAACATTTCTGCATGCTAATTTCCCCATTACTTGTAACACAATCACTCTTTCTTAAAAATTCTTTTTTTTTCTTTGTTTTTGAGCTGAAGAGGATAAAATTCCTTATCAGGAAGAGACCAGCCTGGGTAGGAGGTGGCCTACACGATCCAAGTCATCTTCTCCAAAGTCTAACCTATAATAGCATGAGTCATGTTACGCCCAAGCCACAGGGTAACATACATAACACGATCAGATACACAAATGTGACATTCCCATCTGGTAATAACAGCTAAATCAATTAGTACTGACAACAAGAAAATACCACTGAGTAACATATCTGAAATCAAGTGAAGTATCCTTTTATGTTGCTGGCTTCAGTAGGAAAGAAGTGAAATCATCCTTCACTTGCATTCCAGCTTCTATCTCTACAACTCTGCAAATACTGGGAAAGTGATAAAGAATTCTTCATTAGCTAGATTTGTAACACAGCCATATGGCCAGATGGGTAACATCGCAATTCTTGATAAATATGAAAATGAAGTACTTAGTAGGAAGAGTGAATTTAACTCCACTTCTTCTGCAAACACGTAAAAATCTGGTTTGGAAGTTTTTTCTGTAATCTGTACCATAAATGGCAACTGTAAAATGTACAGAAGTAGAAAGCATGTGTCATAAGCACTTTATTTGACCCTGTTCTACCAAAAATATCCTTACTTCCTGTGCTCAATTTAATCCATCACAATCTACAACCATTTTAGCTGTATAATCCAACACTTATCCTACACATTTGTGTGAGTTTATGCACTGAGAACATTAGGAAGAAAGGATTTATTAACAGCCTCTCAATCAACATTTACAGGGATTATGGTTCTTCAGTCCCCCAGTAGTGCTAACCTTACATTTTTCTCTTATTTCTTCAGTTTAAAAGTTCAATTACAAAATTTCTAACATTAGGAAAACACTGTATTTTTTGAAAACACAGATCCTTAACAGCCAGGATTGGCTTGATTTCAGTTTCCCTGTAACCAGCGTCTATGCCTCCTGCTCCTTCACAGTAAGTAAGCACAGAAACACTTGTGGTGTCCAATGGGGCAACCTGCTAACTAAATTAAATACAATAAAGGAAGGGGGGATTTTAGACCAGACATGTATATAATCATAATTAAAACATACTATGAAGTAGAAGTTTTGAACAGGACAACCTCTGTTGCTTCTTCACCCTCAGGGATAACCAGGCCTGGGGAAGACTTACCTCAGGCACTTAAAACACCATTAACACACTCCTCCTGGGAGTTTCTTAGGCGAGAGAAAGGAGTTTATACTCTGACTAGTCTTTTACATGGTTGCACAGAAGCAGTATTAAGCATCACCATTCAGTGTGGAGAGTTCAAATCTGCAGTTTTGTGCATGTTCATTTTTACCTCTGAAAACACAGTCAGGGGGAGGACAGGAGAGGGCTGTAATCTCTAGGATTTACTGGAGCCCATGGTTATGAAAGAGAGATGCATTTGTATTTGCAGCAATAACTTTCCTGATATATAGGGAAAAAAATGCAGAGATTTGGTCAGAGATCTTGATAAGGATGAGGCAATACATTTCCTAACTCTTAGGAAAGCCCACCACTGTGGCTTTGAAAAGATAAATTTTAAGAGGTGAATCTTTAATCGATGACCCGAATTACTGGACAAGAAAATTTGAAACAACATTAAGAGCATCTGCTACAAAAAGCTATGAATGTCCAATAGTTCCAGATTACTGGTAACATAAACATGCTGCAGCATTTACAAATATTGTGGTCCACTTAAGCACACTTCTCAAACTATTTACAGCAACTTGAATCCTAACTATACTAACAAGGCTAAAACCACATCAGTAAAATTCTACTTGCCAGAAGTTTATATAGAAGCTGGATATTGCATCCATGAGATATCTCCTCCGTACACATTGGGTACCCAAATGACTCTACCATATAGAGTTGAATGGAAAATATTTTTGCAATTTTCCCAAATTCTCCCCTTCAAGCTAAACTTCAAGCATCTGAACAGAAAAGAGAATAAATATATTGACTGGAGATATTGTAGAGCTTCACACAGGCTCTTTTTTCTTCCTTCCATTTCAACATTAAAACATTTTTGCAGTTGATCTAATCACTGTCCCGCTCTGTGCCTCAGAGTTTGTTAGAAGTAACTGGAACAGCGCATCCATCTCAGCAGGCTGCAACCACTAGTAAGTGTAGGCACCTTGATGTAGGTGCAGCTGACTCACATTCAAAGATATCATGAGATATATACCATGACAGTCCAAATCAGCTTTGATTTTTATTGTCTATTCTTCCTTCCCTTAGAGAGGTTCACTTTGTGTCTTCCGCTTTTCAACGTCTTTGAGAAGTTTATTTAGGTTGCAGATTGCCTGTGCCGTACGATGCGTATCACTATGACTGTGCACTATGCGTGCATGCATGTATGTATGAGCATAACAGACTCAGTTAACTCAGTTAACAGAAAATCAGCTTTATATTCTCTTCCAGATTGTGTTAGGGTCCTAGAAACAAAAATGAAGCTTGCACAGATATAATTTGTAAACTAAAACTTCATGTACAATTTTCATACATACTGGGAGAGCAGTATGTTCAAGCCAAGAGAGAAATATTCAACAATCCCAGAACACAAAGCATATTCAGTTATGTAACGATTCTAAAATTATTTCAGTTTCATCTTACTCATCAGGTTATGGCTTTTCTCAGGACTTTGCAACCCTTTATTCCTTTTTATTTATCTGATCTCACAGTTGACCCAGCTTACAGCAGGAGGTTGGGTGAGAGATCTCTTGAAGACCCTTCAAGCCTGAATCAATCTTTATTCCTTATGATTCCAAAAGGAATAGCATATTTATCACCCGTTGATCACCCACCTCCCCTATAAATTCTGAATACTCTGTAAATGTTCAATCTGCACAAGAGAAAGCTTAATTGTTTCAATTTGAGTGATAATAAAAACTCCTCTCTACCAGTGACATATCTCCACTTTGGGGCCTACAACACTGAACAGAAATTTGAAACTCCAGCATCACTACTGAAGTCTTAGAACACCATGATAAAGAAATTATTTCTTTTATCTACTTGTGGTAATTGCCATAAGCTGGTGTCATGGTGAAAAGCTTGATATCTATCACCATTCTGCTCATATTACATCTAGCATAGTTTGGCCCTGATCTACAATACTCAGAACAAGTAATGTGTTCCAGCTAATAGTTCCAGCTAACAACCCCATGTGTAACTAACTTCATTTGATTTAAATACCCATCACACCAGCTGCCTGCAGAGAGGTTAAGAATCATGATCTTTCTTGCCATGCGCAGATCAATTAGTTATTCCACTATCCTTATTCATGCTGGAGTTCAAACTGCAACATGTTATGGTTTTTCCATGAGGCACCTCTTTGAAAAAGCCCCATGACCACACCAGGGAAAACACAGTTCCACAGTCTACAGAGAGACTGATCACACCCACGCTGAGCCTTTCCCTGGAGTCTTGCTGCACATATTAGGACTGCCATAGTGCTGCTGCCTTTCAGCCTTGGCTAGCAGGGCAGAGACAGAATTTCCCCTTCGGCTGGGAAGAAACAGGTCTTTTTTCAAGTTAGAAATAGGATTTCAGTTAAGGAAAGCTCATAAAGATTTTTGTGGCAAGAGCTATGCTTACCTCCTGGACAATGCCTCATGGCCATTTTACACCGTCTGGATTCTGCAATGGTTGGGCACGGTATCGTGTCCTTCACTGGCTTCTTCACAATTTGCCTTGTTCTCGTTTCCAGGCCCCACTTAAATCCACATGTTTTGTTATTTCTGCTGCAAGTTCCCCACTCACTCCACTGACCCACTTCACAGCCTTCTGATAAAGCAAAAGAAAACACAAGTTAGTGAATCTTATGGGTTTTATTTTTATTTTTTCCTAATTAGCAAGAATATACTATTAGAAAGCATCACTTTAAAGCTTTACTGTCAACAGGCAAAAAAATAGAAACGAAATTAAAATATCTTATGGAATCTGAAAGAATCTTTTCAGCTGACATCAGTCTGAGCATAAAACCACCGGACTATCAATCTGTCTGTGTAGACATCGTGTCAGACCCAAATATTCAAAAACCTTCCTAAAATCATGAGATTGATTTTTATTTTTCTCTTTTCAAAAAATAAATCCTGGGTTTGCAAAGCTCGAGACTCCACTTTTCCTGTCCTCCCCATCATGAAATGCAAGGAATAGCCTTGAAAGAAAGAGTCTTTTCTAACACAGTTTTCAGGCATCAGGACACAACACCAAATTGTGAGACTCAGCAAATATTGTGAGAACTGCCAATGCTGGCTTAGAGTTATACAGTACATTTCTACTAAGAACACTTATTTGGTGGTTTATATTTGTTACTTGTTAATGGAAACACAGGAGCTGCGGAGAAATTAAAAGTAAATTTGAAGCCCAGATGTTGTAGGATTTCAATCTGCCCTGGTCCAAGGTTCTAGCCTTGGTAAAAGGCAAAATGAGCAGGTAGTTCTATGAGGGTGGGAATCCAACGAGTATGTCATTGACTTAAAGTTCTAATGCAAAAACTGGCCTTCCTGAAATTCTAGGAATTCTGAGTTATAAATCTTCATACATAACAATTTACAGTTAAGAGGACAGAACATTCTCATGCAGAACAACAGAGTGGCATTCCCAATGATGCAGTATTTCAAAGTTTGGGAATAATAATAATAATAATAATGAGATGCAGACACAATCCATTAGTGACTATTTCTTGATAGAAAATAGTAAGCATCAGTTTAAAAATAGCATCGTAAGTATTTGAATGCAGCCACCTGGCCAAAGGGCTGCTTCAGCGGCGCTGCTGCTCTGGAAGACTCACCCACACATTCCATAAGGTCTTCCAAGGCTGCAAATCCCGGGGGGCATCCTCGGAAGCAGCGGCCTCTGTGCGAGTAGAAGCCAGTTTTGCATTTGGTACAAAAGTCTCTGCTAAAGCAGGAGTCGCAGTTTTCTATCCTGCATCCTGAATCAAAGGGATCATAAGGGACAATGAGACAGCAAAGTTAGGGTGAGACTAAAAATGAAAGGATTTACAAAGCAAAATAAAACAGCAAAACTGGAAGTGCTACAATGAGGAATACTGTAATCCTGAAATCTGTCTGCTCTATGAGAGAAATGACAGTTAACAGGAATTACCACATTTTCTCCTATATTCATTTAATCCTATTTTTTAAATCAGAACTGTAGATAAAACCTGTAGTTAAATGATATTTGTGTTAATTAAATCTTTTTGGAGGAAAAATGTTCATTGTAAATTATTCTTGTGTTCAAGTCATTTTGAGGAAAATAAGGTGTGACGGATTATTTTGGGAAATATGTATGCATTATATGTACTGTACTGAGTTTATTACTTGTCATTGCAAGTAGGATACTTTTTTTTATTCCATGAGTTGACCCTATAAATAGTCGAATGAACGCTTTTATGTGTTATGTCTGATTTCCACATTTACACAGATGCATGTGCTACCATGCAACCTGAATTTTTTCTGGATGTAACTCCTTTCCATTACTAATGAAGTCAATCCACAAAACCTAGCCATTATTAAATGACCAAAAGACATAAAGCTATAATTGATAGCTAAAAAATAATATTGCTTTTTTAAATACTGAGTTTCTCTGAAAATTTAAGAGAAATATGGATTACAGACTCAGAAGCAGACTGTTCAGAAAAATCTTATTCCATACTAAAACACAGCAACTTGGAAATGAACCAGATATCAACAAGTATTTGCACACCTGAAAAGCAGAAATACTTACCTGGAGGCTTATGAAAGTCAGTCATACATACCTACAAAAAAATTCCAGGGAAAAATGTTCCAAAGATTAAAAAATAAAAGCCATTATATTTGGAACAGTAATAAACACATTAAAATTGATTTAAATAATCTAACCCTTCAGCTATCATTCTTAATTTATATCATCTACATTAAGTGTATCCTGTCTTCAGCTATCTGAAGTCACAGCAGGCTCTATTTGTTATTTGTTTCATGCAACAATATACCAATCTTTTTGGTCACTTATGTAATTCATATATTCTTCATTCTTTTCTAAAGAAAAAAAATCACAAACCATAAGGACTTCTGAAATAACTATTGGCAAATATAGTCTAACAACACTTCAAATTTGACCAATCTTTATAAAACAGATTTTAATATTTATTCTTAAATAACAGGCCAAAATAGGGCATACCATAACACTTAAACTGGGTGGTGGTGGGAAATTATTCTTAGCAAATACAGAAATATGAGGCTTTGTAGATAAGGCTTCTTGTAGCATTGGACAATAAATTAGGCAGATTGCATGAAAAGAAAAAAAATTATTTTAAATGCTGGTACACCTTTCTTTGGTTAGAAGGAATGCAAACAAAGTCTTTCACTGACAAAGGAAAGCTCTGCAGGAGCTCCTGAGCCACAACCACATTTAACCTGGATGCTGCCAAGTCCAGTGTCCAGCATCTCTCAAAGGGGCTTTTAGAACTTGTGTTCTTATAAGCAGCAGAAGTTGGACTTCTTAGTTTAATTGTAGGAAAATCTCAAGAATGATAACTTCTTTTTCACAAGGGTTGAACCAGTTCCCAAAGACCAGGAGATCAATGCCCATACAATGACTGCAAAATCACTTCTCCAGATTAATGTGTCTGCAAGGTAAAACAGTAGGGTGAGCTGCTCTGGAGATCTACTGCAAAAGTTAATTGCAAGTCTAGTTTGTTACACTCAAGATGTACTGCAAGTATTTATTAATTATAATGCTTGAATCAAATATCCAGTCTATTTAAATATTCAGAAAAAAACATGTGCCTCTTGCCCACCCACACAAGATGGTTTGAGAAGACATCAAGGTTTTTCCAAATCATTTAGTCCAAGGATGAGGTGCAGAACCAAACATTAAAAGAAAAATTAGCATCATGTGACCCTCCCTTACATTCAAGTGATGCAAGTATATTTTTTAAATAGCTTTTTAACTATGGCTTTTAATGATTTTATTATCTCAATTTACTAGCTATAGGTCTAATTAATTTTCTTACGAGTTCAGTGGTTCAATTTTCTCTATGATTTCCGTAGCTAATCCATGCTGCTAGCATATTCTTTTTATTCCACTTAAAATATTACCTAGAAGTTTACAACACCAAAAATTCCTAAAGGAAACAACACCAAAACACTTGAGCATAGGTAAGATTTTAGACTCAAGGAGCTCTTCAGAGGAAAGAAATAGATATTGCACAAACCACAGTATTCTTCAGAAATGCATTGATTTCTTTTCTCTAAAATAAAGAGAAAATGGTGCCCATTAGAGGTTTCCAGATAGACAAGGGTAAGCGTCTGAGAGATTTTAGAAGCAGTAAAGAGAGGGAGCCTAGAAGTGAAAGCTTTGGAGGCACGGGCAAAGATGAGATTGGCATTATGGGAGAGACAGTTGATAAATTCAGTCATGCAGAAGAACCCCAAAGAGTGATCACATACCTTTGGCAGGCCTACCATACTTGCAAGGCAACAATGACAAGGTTGGAAACCTAATCTTCAGAACCTGAGAGTGAAGAAGTAGAGGGTGCTTCATTGCTGCTGTTCCCATTCAGCTAGCAACATGAGGTCTGTCGGTTAGGGGCAGACACTTGTGAGTCCTTACCCCCTCCTTCCCTTGCATTCAATTTGCAGTGTCTCATCAAGGGTCTGCTTTCTACCAGATCTCAAATGCCTTCTATTTTTACTCAGCACCACATCTCTTTATAACCCCCTGGCTACTACTCTCTCAGGACCTCTCAGACTCATCACAACACTCTTAATGCAGCTCTTCTAGCACAATCTCCAATTTTCTTTCCAGTGTTTCTGTCTTGGGAAAGTCAGAAAGTCAAATATTTGCTTCCATCCTTCTAAGTGAAAGGTATAAAATATCCTTGAAAGTCAGTCCTATATGAAGCCCACACATCTTCCTCTGGTACCATCCTCACTGAACTGGACTAATAAAAGGACCTAGGGAGGCCCAGAGCAATCTGCTGGTAAGACTGATTAGCACAGCCTATTTCTAAACAAATGACATTTTTTCAAGTGTTACACCATACTTCCCACAAAAGATGTACGTAAATGCTAAAAGAACATTCTCACCTCATTGAAATCCATGGTAAAGGTCCTAATTGCTTCAGCAAGGACAGTTTTAAACTAACAACTTTTTTATCCCATCAGATAGACCAGAGCCCACTGCAATGAATTTAATGGGCAAAATTAATATTAAAAACCTTAAAGAGATATAATCTTTCATAATAAATACCTATTTATAGAGAGAAAAGGGAGAACTGAAGAGCAGTACTCCAAAAGTTAGAAAAGCTAACATTCTAGTAGTCTATTTTCAATCTCAAACTTGAATGACTGACATTTCAGTGCAGCACAAGGGTAAATTATAGTATGCAAAACTGCCTCCATGCTTGAGAGCAGTTACAGAATATGCTCAAGAAAGAAACATATCTCCATGAGCTAATATTGTGCCACTCCTCAGTCAATGACCAGGAAACCTACAGAACTGAAGGACCAGATTCTTTGGTTGTTCTGTAGGGGAGAAAAAGGAAAAAAGATCATAATATTTCCATCAAAAAAGCCATTGTCAGAAAAGAATCCAAAGACAGAAATTTACAATGTCTTTGACTTTGCTTACTGAAAGAGAGTGGCAAGGACTTAGGAGCCAAACTCCCCTTTTCCTTAATTTTCAGCAAGTTCTAGCACCCCAGAGCACTTCAGAAATAATTTCCTTCTGAAGTGCTTCCACAGATAGACCAGATTTTTTTTTAAAAAATGTAATGGCTATGAACCATGTTTCAGTCAAGGTTAGGGAAATAAGTCTGGTCTGTAAGAAGTGCATTTAGCTAGCCAGAAATAAAATATTTGTATTTAGGTTTTATAATCTCATTTATATCTCCCAAACGTTTCTCTGCCATTTACTTAAATAGCATAAAAAGACCAAATCTGATTGACATGAATGAAACTTACAATATTTATAGAAAACTATATAAATGGTGCATTAGAGAACTCTGGAAGGAGAAAGCTTGGATTATAAATAATGCCCAAATTGGAGATACATTTTAAGCAGATGAATCACAGTGATACTAAAAGATTTTCCTGACCTGCTTTGGCTTCCTGACACTCATGATAAGCCACTCTTATTCATTCTTCTTTTAAAATAAGCATTAAAGAATTGACAGACTTAAATTTCAGAAAAGAAATCAAAAGCCCAGGAATTCAAATACAAATTCAGACACTGAATTAAGTTTATACCCAGGTGCATATTCTTTTTCTTGTAAAAAAAGAGCACGTGCTCCTGCAAACAGCTTCATCCTGCACTGTTATTACAGAAAGCATAGCTTTACCAAAACAAATACTATCCTTCCATAGTAAAATTTATCACCAGTTTACAAGGTGAAGCAGACAGACTACACATTTCATAACTCACCTTGTGTGTGTGCCCTCACAAGAGCACATGAGGGACAAAGACTGTGCTAGTGCTAAGGAGAGTAAGAGACAGGGACAAGGAGCTGAAGAAAGCTATGATGGCAGCAGTTCTTGTAGGAGACATTGTCAGTTGTACAACCAATAGAAAGAGAGATGACCAAAACTTTCAGGAAAGACATTGAGGAGACAGTAAGGAGAGGAGAAAAATCATAAGCAAGAGTGCTTTAGCCTGCAAGGCAACAGAGGTAGCTATTTATCCTCCTAAGCAGAGGATAGGCTTAGGTAGTTGCAGGTTGTTTTATTATTATTATTATACTACAAACAAAGATTTTAAAGCTACAACTTCAGCAGGGGCTGAACATGAGTGCTAGAGAATAGTACACACAGCCACTTGACCATCACAATTCCTGAAGATTACCACAGGTCTACCATTTCATGGAGAACCATGCTTGGAATACAACATGCTAATTATAGAATCATAGAATCATATGGGGTTGAAAGGGACCTCTGGAGATCATCTAGTCCAACCCTCCCACCGGAGCGGGTCTACCTACAGCATGTTGCACAGGAACTTGTCCAGGTGGGTTTTGAATGTCTCCAGAGAAGGAGATTCCACCATCTCTCTGGGCAGCCTGTTCCAGTGCTCTATCACTCTCACAGTAAAGAAGTTCCTCCTCATGTTTAGGTGGAACTTCTTATACTCAAGTTTGTGCCCATTTCGTCTTGTCCTGTCCCTGGGCACCACTGAAAAAAGACCAGCCCTGTCTTCCTGACTTGTATGCATTAATTAGATCTCCCCTAAACCTTCTCTTCTCAAGCCTAAAAAGACCCAAGTCTCTCAGCCTCTCCTCGTAGGAGAGATGCTCCAGGCCCTTAATCATCTTTGTGGACCTTTGCTGTACCCTCTCCAGCAGTTCTCTGTCCTTCTTGAACTGGGGAGCCCAGAACTGGACATAGTGCTCCAGATGGGGCCTTACCAGGGCAAAGTAGAGGGGCAGGATGACCTCCCTCAACCTGCTGGCCATGCTCTTCTTGATGCACCCCAGGATGCTATTTGCCTTCTTGGCCACCAGGGCACATTGCTGGCTCATGGTCATCCTGTTGTCCACAAGAACTCCCAGATCTTTCTCCCCAGAGGTGCTCTCCAGCAGGTCAGTCCCCAGCCTGTACCGGTGCATGGGCTTATTTCTCCACAGGTCCAGCACCCTAGACTTGCCCTTGTTAAATTTCATTAGGTTCCTCTCTGCCCAATTCTCCAGCCTGTCCAGGTCTTGCTGTATGGCCACACAGCCTTCTGTGGTGTCAGCCACCCCTCCTAGTTTTGTGCCATCAGCAAACTTGCTGAGGGTACATTCCATCCCTTTGTCCAGGTCACTGATCAACATATTGAAGAGGACAGGACCCAGTACTGACCCCTGGGGGAACACCACTTGTCACAGACTTCCAGCTGGATTCTGTGCCCCTAATCACAACCCTCTGGGTTCTGTCTTTTAGCCAGTTTTCAGTCCACTTAACTGTCCATTCATCTAACCCATACTTCCTAAGCTTAGCTATGAGGATGAATATATTTATGAATTATAAAATACTATAGTGAGGATATTTTTTAAAATAAAATGTACTTAATAAACACTTAGTGATATATTTCCAGTACGTTCTAATCTTGATTCATTATTAATTGAGATCTTTTAAATAAATGCCAAACCACAGTGTTTTCAATTAGTACTTTACAAATATACAATCTAAATTGACTACATATTTAATAAATCTTAATTCAAAGCACTATGATGATTTTTGTTGCCAGATGGATGGAACAAAACTATTCCATCAAAATACAAAGTAATGCCAAAAATCAGGAATTTCAAAATTAAAAAAAGAAAATCCAAATTCATTTGACGGAGGAAAAGAACGCAGAAGAGATAAGGAAAAAAATGCCTACAAAATAATCATAGGTAGACCTAAATTTCTGGCCATCCAACTTTATTTTCAAAATTCCAAATGCTATATTAAGCTTGTTTTTAAAAGATAAAGCCATATTTGACAGAAACAAAAAAATAATGACAACTGTCTCTAAAAATCAGAAACATTATTTTATTTAGAGCAAACATTGCTGCTCCTGTGGTAATTGAACACCCTGGCAGATAATGACATATTAATGATGTCTTGCTATTTTGTAACGAATTTTTTAAAAATATAATTACCTTTCTTAATATAGTGGATTAACCACAACCACATGTGTTTAATAAATGCTTGATTTGTTTAAAAACTTCTCTTTATCTTGTTTTTACTGAAGGCACATGGAAGGGGAAATTACAATTTTAGCAATGTCAGGCCCTCCTGTGAGAAAGAAGCTGAACCTAAACAAATGGAGTAGCCAAGTAAAGCTGAAAGGAGCTGTAATTTCTAAAATCTGAGTGCTTCCCCCCCCTAAAATTGTAAAGGTTACTGTGGACACAGACTAAGTTGAGAGGTTCAAGATAGGCTCAATTCATTAATCAGCCCAATGTTAAACCAACCACCCGGTTGACAGATTTCATCTTACTCTTTAATTCAGTTTTGTTTTTCTCTCATGAGATTATTTCTTGGTGGAGCAGTTAGGTTCAAAGTCATTAATTATTAAAATTTCTTGGAAAATTAACAAAGTGCAGCTCTTCTCATGGGCATTCTTCTACAGAACAGAGTCAACACTTTCCAATTTCGTGTCCAAATGTATGGCATTCCCATACTGCAGTGTTCAAGATGAAAATCATCTCCAGCAGGAAAATCTACATTGCTTTCTAGAGACAACCAGTCTCACAATTACATGATTCACTGTTACTAGAAAAACAGTCTAGAACCACTTTGCAAATTCAAGACACACATACTGCTTACATGTAGAAAAGAAAATTGTCTTGAAATTCAAAATTTCCATCATTTTAGAGCTGCTGCACTTGGCTGCGGTATTTATTGTGTTACACTTGGCACTAACTATGTTTGGCTTTTAAAATAATGTCAACATTTTCCATAAAAATATGTTCTATAGCTTCTCTAACAAAAATGGGCAAGTGTTCCAGTAATAAAATGTTAAACAGCTTTTGTGCCTATAAAGACATTAATAGGGCAGAAATCATTTCAACTTATGTAATTCAAGCCCTGTAACTCCCAGAAGGATTTTAACACGGCCAGAATTTTTATTATTTTTAGCTGAGATAATACTATCTGAGCAATGCAGTCTGTAACTAAGCATACCTAAAAGTATCTAACATCAAGTAGGAAGAAACCTATTCTATTTTTTAAGAATGTTTATTTTAACTCAACTTCAATCCACAAAATGCCTGTGTGTCCGCAATGCACGTATGTGCCGTGTAAGATCACCAAACCAAGAAAAAAATGAAGATGTGATTTATAAATACACCAGTTGGCAGTTACACTAAAATAAAAATATACAATACAAAAATAATTGGAGGGGAACCAGGACTGGTTGGTAAATGCAACTGCATCATTATTCTCACAGGGGGAGACTGTCAAAGGCATGAGGGTGAGTTAAATATCCAGCACTCAACACATGCCAATGTGGGTTGGACCCAACTTGCATTTATGCTTTTCCAAACCAATCCCATAATTCAGGGAAGAAGGCCACTTTCTGTAAGTGGTAAAAATGGAAAAAAAAAAAAAAAAGTTATATTGAATTCACCATCCACCTTCTGCAAATAACTTTTTTTTTTCTTTTTAAGAAAGTAAAGAAAGACTGCCAGTAGGGACTACTTTTCCTACCTCACAAGCACAGGAAAGGCTAATATAGATAAATTCATCTATTTCCCAAAGCTGTAACTATATTCAAAAACATTTTTACATGGGTAAGTTTTTACAGCCCAGTTTTGAAAGGTTTAAAGTGGACAAGTTGCTGAATTCACAAACGTGTTATGAAAATTAAGGCCAAGATCCTAAATTACTTTACAGAAGGGATACATAAACCATATACTGGTCTCATTTAATTTTTCATCAAAACCTAGCCACCTGGTATAGATTAGGCAGCACTCAGCAATATTACACAGCAGTTGGGAACACAACGTGAAGAATACCATATCCAAGGAGCCTGTTTAGGGAACGGGGAGAAAGAGGCGGGACATCATTGCACGGGCTGGGATGGGTCCAAGTGAGTGCTCCTTGTCCAGCCCAACCTGCCACGGAGTGACCTCACATGGGTCTCAAGATTATGTGTGATGTGAAAGCCAGCACCCGCTTTCTTACAACACGGTCCGTCCCAGTGACATCCACAGCACCGAGGGGGAGAGTGCCAGACATTGAACAGACACTTGATTATTCCAGGAAGCAAAGAAAAGCTATTTCTCACTTCAGGTTCTTAGGTTTGGTGACCTAATTTTGGTTAGACTATGACACACGCACACAAAAAAAAGCCCCATAAATATGAATTAGAGGTAATAACAATGATTAATAATCCATATGGCTAATACTCTGCATATGAGCATATGGAAAAATCAATACGAATCAGCACAACTGCCAGACAGCGGTGAAATAACGCGTAGAGATACCAGAGCACTTGATTTTAACAGTTGTGCTTCTAGGCACAAACATGCAAACAGGGAATCTTGTTGCACATTAGCAGGTTGTAAATTTCCAAATAAACTGCAGTACTAAAAGTGAAAGGTTGTTTGTTTGTTTTTAATAGTACATCTGTTTTATTAAAATAGCAACACTTACATATTAAAGTATGCCTGGTGTGAGGTGTCTGGTCACCTGAAATTTGTGTGGGAACAAAAAGCCTGACAAGCAGCCCACCCATACATTAGTGCATATACTGACTAGTACCTACATGAGGCACTGTTAAATTAATGTTTAATCCTTTTTATTTTCATATAGAGGGAATTTTTAGAACAAGAAATATCTGCTTAAATCATCATAGTTTCCTACATTTCCCTTCTAACTAAAGCAGTAATAACAATAAAAATAGCAACAACAATAAGAACTAGGTTAATACATCAACTATTTAATCTGCTGATTGTTACATATCTTGGAATGAGCCGGGATGTTCTTTAGCAAAGAAGTTTTATGATGATCTTGAGACATCTGTGAAAATATCACCATGTTCCACAACCTATCATCTTAAAAACTGAGCGTGAATTATGGCCTTCCTACAAAAGCAAATGTAAGAGTTCAAAAAAAAACTCACTTGAACATCTGTTCATATCTGGCGTCCGGAGTCCGTAGTACCCCGATGGGCAGGAATGCAAGCATTCACCATATTGTCTCATTCCTTCTCTTCGCAGGAAGAAGAATAACTTGTGTTGGCATCTGATGCACCCATTATCCTTTGAACAAGATAAACAGCCTTTGCAAATTGGATTTGGTCCATAGCTAGCTGCAAAATAAGAAGATAAATTACCCTTTAAGATCATTTGGAAATTATTTTGGCTGGAGGTCCTCTTCCCTCTAAAGTGTTTCTTATCTACCGCATGAGTACAAGTAGTTTTGAAAGGAAGGTTCTGAAACTGCGCTCACTCTCATACATCTGTGCTGGCAAGTGAATAAGAAGAAATGCAATCGCTCTATTTTTAATTGTATGTAGGGCAATTTAATGAATTCACACATATTTAAAACAAAGGTACAGGCAAGCAGAGACCAAGCTATATAAAGTTCACCATTATAATGTAAGTAAAACCCAGGTGCCGAATTCTAGTTTGAAGCTGGGGACACAAGCACACAACAGCAACAAAATATAAGAACATCAGCACCTTGATATATGCACCTGATATCTCCATGGAAATCCAGCAACTTCATTAATGCAGTTTCTGACTTGTGAAGAGAGCAATATTAAGAGTTGAGAACTCTGCAGAACAGGTAGGGCACTAGCTATGCATGCTGTCCCAGAGCTCCCATGTCCTAGAACGGCTGTCGTCTTGCAAGTCTCTTTTTGGTCTTTCTATGAGAATGTCAAGACAATTATTTAAGGAAAAAAAAAAAAAGAGTAGCAGTTTTAACTTCTAAGAGCCTTTTTCTACAAGTTTCTACCCAAAATGGGTTGAAAATCATATGGCACAGACATTACTGAAGGAGGACATTTAGTGCAGATTACCATTTTAGGCCATGCCTTCAATTCTATTCTATTCTCTGGTTTCAATTTTTTGGTTGTTTTTTTTTTTTTTTTTTTTTTTTTTTTCCTTCTTGCTTGTGTGAGTGTCTGCAGGGGGGGCCTGGCAAGTTCAGGGGGTGACAT